TCCATAGCTTGTTCTTTTCTGGTGCAAGTTTTCTTGAACTCAAAGTTGCATTGGTATGAGCAAAATAGTGTTTCTGTAGACTATATCTACAGATTTTTTAGTACTTTAAACAACATTGGCAATCTGCAGTAGCTGGATTCCGGCTCTTTTATTCCAACGAATTCCTTTTATAAGTTAAATTATTTGAGATAGAGTTTTACTATACAGCCCTGCCTGACCTGTGAAGTCCAAAGTTCCCAAGTGCTGAGATTAAAGGCATGTGCCATTATGCCCAGATCAATGAATTTCTTATGTAAGCAATCCTATTTCTAAAATTTTATCTGGAAGTATTTCTTATCTCTAACAACTTCTACATCCTTCATAGGTTCCTAATATAGACTATTTCAGTCTCCTTTTTCTCAGGGGTAGCTTGCCCATTTGAAGACATCACTGCCTATAGAAAACTTGTTATTATAAAGAGTTTACAGACAACCATACTTACACACACACACACACACACACACACACACACACACACACACCTGCTTTTACAAGCGGGGGCGGGAGAAGAGAGTGGGAGAAGGAACTTCAACAAGAGAAGGATATGGGAAGTGAGAGGAAGATGAGAATGGGGAGTATTATAGAATAAACAATAGGAAAAAGAATAGAGTTTACTATTCTTGCAATCTGGCTACACCTATGGCAGAGGTAGCCTGCTGTTCACAAAACTGTGTCATCTGTTCCTATGTAAGAATACTTTTTCAAGTGATGACTTGACTTAGGACTTCATTTTTAAAAGCTCATCTGTGTCTGTGGTACCCAGAGTCAGTTCAAGTTAGGTCTTACAATAATAATCATAATAATTAATAATAATGATGATGATGATGCTGAAGGAAGTCTATCATTTCATGCCTTAGACTGTAATGACTTGGTTGTTCCTTCTCCACAATTATTTGCTGCCTTTTCTTGTTGTATGTCCATTGGTTTATGAGGCTTTGGAAGTCAAAGACTAAGAGAAACAATAACTCTGATTGTCCTAGATCCCTTTACAATTGCTTAGAGCAGTATTTATTTATTTGTTTGCTTATTTGACCTTTTATTTTGTTGTTGTTTGTTGCTTTTTTTTTTTTTTTGAGACAGGTGTCAGTGTGGAGGCCTGGAACTCACTATGCAAACCAAGCAAGCCTCAAACTCACAGCAGTTCCCTGCCTCTGCTTCCAAAGTGCTGAGCTCCAACACCACCACACTCAGCATAGATTAGTGTAGGGAGAGACCCTGGATACCTGTACCGCTGACCATGCCCGGTTGCTGATAATGAACAAGATCAAACAGGGAATAGTTTATTAACTGGTAATTTATTAAGATGGGATACTCACACTAGGAGCCAATAACCAGACTTGGCACTCCAAAAAGTCCAGTCCCAGATGCCTCCAAGACCTGGCCTGAACCCCGAGAGAGGAGAAGCAGTTCCCCTCCTCGATCTTTATCCTACCCCACTGTGTACCTGTGACCACACCAATTTGGGCGTGGTCAATGGTACATGTATATAGGGTCTCTCCCAACAGGGTAGAATTTATGATGCACATGATGAGTAATACCTAACATAGAGTCCTACTAACAAATAGCATTATTTTAAGAAGGCATGGGGTATTTGATATTATATGTTAAGGCATTTTCTGTAGTGATATTAATATAAATTCATCTTTCTATATTCTGAGTGTTTCCAAGTTAAATCAAAAACTAAAGAAGCCAGCCATTTTCTTTTCTACATCCTCTGGCACACTGAGTATATCTGAACCCATTTAAGAAGACTATTTTTTCCTCTACCCATTCTAGAGATGTGGTACAAACTAGGAGCTATGGAGAATCTATTTTGCAGTGATGACAACTATAAATTCTGTTGGGTGCATAAGATAAGTCAATTTGGGTCTCTTTCCTTTTTAAAGAACAAAAAGTCACAGTTGATTATGTTGTAATATTAGCATGTGCCTAATATTCTATAGGACATGATTGAGACAGGTGTCAGTGTGGAGGCCTGGAACTCACTATGCAAACCAAGCAAGCCATCTAAGATTAACAAGGTTATTATAATTTAATATTTTTTCCCTGAATGTAAATTATAGCCTTTTAATTTTCTGTGTCTTTAAATAAATGTGTAAATTTTATAGAGCATAATAATTCCTATCAGTAGATTTCACTTAGCAATCTTAATGAAAGCAAAAATCTCACATTAATGTTCTCTATAAAGAATTAAGAAACCTGAGGCTAAGGACCTGGTTTGGGAATTAGAACATATGCAAACATGAGGATTGACCAGAGTACAGATTTCCGGAAATCATGTGGTGGCCCTTGGGAATGTGATAATTAGGGAAAGTATTTTAAAAGCTCAGATCAATCTCTGTGAGTTCAAGTCCAGCCTGGTCTCCTGGCGAATGCCAGGATAGGCTCCAAAGCTACACAGAGAAACACTGTCTCAAAAAGCCAAAAAAAAAAAAAAAAAAAAAAGCTCATATCATTTTAATCAAGCAAAGTGATACATTACAGTTAAAAGGTAATGAATTTATAAACAGAGGCATTTCATTGAAACTTGTGTATTTTCTTTAAATTATTGTCATTTAGATATTAACTGATATTTTACAGGAATGGTTAAAAGGGAACTGATATATCTATCCTCATACTTGTTGCTTAAGTCTAAGACTACCACAAGGAAAAGTGTGGTATTTATATCCTTGATACTTTAGTTTGTAAGGATGAAAACTGAACAAATTTTAGATAAATAAATTCAATGGATGTTATTTTAACTATGTCAGTAATTGGTTCTTTGGGGATTGCTATATTTAAACTTACAGTTTATGTAAATGTGATTAGTCATTTGAAATGAATAAGTCATTTCATATTATAGCTTATGCATATGAAATTTCCCAGTCAAGAAGGGCTTCTTCAGCTGTGTGTGTATTTTGACATACTCTAATTGGCCAAATTATCTTAGTTGGATAATAAGCCCAGTTCTCACCAACTGTCTCCATAATTTCCATGATTTCTTAGTAAAGAAAATGAAGAAATGTATCATAGTGAATATGTCATCCAAATTAGGAGTTTTCTTGAGTCACATGTCTAGACAGTTTCAATGTATGGGACTTTGGCATCAAGCTGCTGTGCTGTTCATGAGCTAAGTTTACTTACCTTTTTTAGGCCCACACTGTGGGTGAAAGGTAAGACTTTTAGTGCACTGTGATCAGAGTAAGTGTCTACTTCATTGGAATAAGTATGAATCAATTACATTTCAAAATCAACATAATAAGCCAATAAGTTTTTAGTTTTAGTTTCTAGTTTCAGAAATACAATAAAGGTTTTGAAACAAATAGATCATTGACTTTCTGCTTGAATAAATCCACATCATTCAAATAAATTTTCAAAAAAAAATGTGTTTTTTTCTTTTAAAGAGTATTTCTGTTTATTACACGCAAAATAGTTGAAAGTGAAGTGGTATATCTACCCATGTTAGTTATTTCTAATACTACCACAAGGCAAAATGTGGTATTTCCATCACACTACCCTCATCTTGGTCCCTCTAAGTGCTTCAGGACCTCTCCCCCGATCTGTGCTCTCTTTCAACTTACTTTGTCCTGTTTCAACTTACTTTGGACTTTTCCTGTATACCCCATGGAGTCCAATTAGAATTGTACATACATGTGTGGGTGTGGATCCATCCACTTGAACATGGGCAAGCTACCAAGCCAGGTACTATGCCTCTGACGGAAACCAGCTCAACTCTTCTTCCCCTAGTAGGCCTCACCTGGAGCCTCACAAGCCTCTCCTATTCAATGCTAGACTGCTTATGACTTGATCATGAGCAAGGCTCACAACTAGAGACAGGCGGAGCTCCTGAGTGCAGCCGCCCTGTCATGTGTAGTACATGCTGCTTGGCGGCAATCCTCCCACCCTCTAGCTCTTACAAGCTTTGCATCACCTCTTCAGTGATGTTCCTTGAGCATTAGGGGGAGATGGTTTGGTAAAGATACTGAATTTGAGGCTTGGAAGTTCGCCATCACTTGTTCTCCACACTGGCAGGTTGTGCGTCTCTATATTAATGTCTGTCCGCTATAAACTAGCTTCTCTGATGAAGGATGAGAACTGCACCAAGCCAACAAGAATCTGTACTTACACAGCAGTTTGACACAGTTAATCACAGTTAACTTTAACTGTAGTTTAACCTCTTATTTATAATTTCAACCTGAAACATAAAACTTAAAGTTAGAAATAGAAATTGATAAATCATTTCAACAATATTCATCATTATTAAACATGTGACTATGAAGTATAGTGCTACTTTATGATAACAATCCAAGAAAACTATTTTTATGAGAGAAGATATCACTTTTTATCCCTGACTAACTTGGAAGTCCCTGTAGACCATGCTTGCTTTGAACTCAGAGCCTCTACCTTCCAAGTGCTAGAATCAAAGGCACTTGCCACCATGCCTGGTGAAAAACAGTCTTCTATTCAGTGACAGTTTGCATTGAATGAAAGCAGAATGAGCCACTAATTGAAAGCACCCCTTCCCTTAGCTGCACTTTCCCTGTCGAAGGAAATCGTCTAAGTTAGCTCCACACAAACTGCTGTGGCTGAAGCTTGTGTAGACAACATGAGAAGAAGGCTACATCCATTTCCTTTTGTACTGTTGTCTCACTTTCAACTTTTAAAAAGGAAAATATTGGTAACATAAAGATGTTATCTTGTATTTGAACATTCATATAGAAAGGTGGAATTTGGTTTGTTTGTATTTTGTGATCTTTAAGTTTTTTGTAAATTTTGTAGATCATACTATTACCCTCATGTGTGCTTGCTTGGGGGCAGGGAAGTCAAAGAGCAGCTTTCAATCGTCCCCATTTCTACCAGTCCTAGAGATGGCATCCAAATTGTCAGTCTTGGTAGGAACACCTAAACCAACAAAAGGCATCTTGTCAACCCAGTCATGCTTGTACTTGGACTTGATTTCTCTAATGCATTTTGTCTTTCAGCTTCTCCCTGGGTGGATAATAGTAGAACTCCAAACAAGATTGATTTGTATGATGTACGCAGAAGACCATGGTATGAATTTTTTTTTACTGTCCCTAAAGATGAGATCAATGAAATCATTTGTTAATATTGTGAGGGTAAACTTCTGCTTACTGGGATAGGTGTCATCTCCTTATATATAATGCTATGATATTTTCAGGATATAAATCTGATTCGTAACAAATGAAAATGATGAGTTTGGTTAGGGAATGATGGTGAACAATGTTGATATGATTTCCAGTCTTATGTTCAGTTGCAGCTTGCCAGTCTCTTTTAGCTGGTGGGGATTTCTGCAAGATTCTTACTTTGATTGGGGTAGAGCCCTAACCAAGAGTTGACATAGAGTCAGAGAGAATATGCTTCTGGCAGAAAACTAACGAGAACTGGCCCCAAGCTAAGAATGCTGCCTAAGTATATCCATATACTTCAGACTTGATTTTCCCCCAAAGGAGCTTTATTTGTTTGACAGTACTAAACTAATTCATCATCCTACAAAACATAAGAAAATATCAACACTGTGTTTGGGCTTACTGAAAAACAACTCTGAATTTTCATACCTTTTAATTATTGATTGTATTTTGAGAGCTTAAATTTGACATTTTTTAATGAGTTCACATATATAGCATGGTGCCTTGTACTCTTTTCATACTAATTTTTAACTACATATTGATGAAAAGAAATACTTAACATCATTTTAATGATGGATATATGCTTACTCAAGTAAGGAAATCCCTATTATTGAATTTTTGCATTGTGTCCAACTTCCTGCTGTAGTAACATAAATTCTATGCAACATGGTGATTGATTGAAAGAACATGTATTGATGACTTTTAAGTGTCCTGTTTAGTATCAAATAGCAGTTTACATAAACACAACCTTGAACAATAGTTACCAATATTACTATTATCCCTACAGTTAGATATTTAATGTAAGCAAATACCACTGTGTAACATAGTATTAAGAAATGATCATTTTATGGGAAATGTAGGAACAGCGTGTCAATCACCTAAAGCAGACACTGCCCTGATCTTTTCATCTTCCCACTGAGAAACACACTGGGACAGATGCTAACCAGAACTGTTAGATTCTAGACACGAGCTGAATTTTCTGCTGTGGGAAAAGAGAGGGACTCTGTCTATTGCCCTGCACAGAGAGTGCAGTGGATTACAGGCAGTACTCTGAAATTCTCCCTCCAGGCTAATTCCCAGCAGATAGTGGCTGTGCTCTAGGTGGTTGACAATGAACTGGCCTGCTTTCTGTCAGTGAGAAGTTGAGTCTTGATGCAGCCCTTCCTTCCAGGGAAGGCAGACACCTGATCCCCTTCATTATCTGTTCCCCTTCAGTCTCTGGCCAAGCAGTATATCTGTCTGTCTGCCTGCCTCACTGTCCTCTCTCTCTCTCTCTCTCTCTCTCTCTCTCTCTCTCTCTCATATTAATCAGCTGCTCTCAAATTTATTTCTCCATAATCAGTTAACTTCCTGCCTAAATCTCCCCTAAGTATCTTTCCAATGCAGAGGGTCTTGTTCTGTAAGATGGTGTTGGATTTTAGAATTAACATTTGACCTGCTTCTCAGCATTATTCTTGGACACTGTAAAGTTTTGAGAGTTTTGGCTTTGAATTCTTAGTAATAACATTATCCAGTACCTGATCTGTTATTTAACTGGCCTGTTGTGATTCCTTTTATGTTCCCTTTTTTTCAAGTATCTCTTTGCATTTGGGAGTTCTTATGTAAAAATTTCAGTTTTTTGTCTATTACAGTGAAAAGGTCATAACTGGAATTTAGTATTTTCTTTCCTGATTAAAAAAATCCTTTTTGAAATTTTCACTGCTTATGTTAAATTTTGTGTCCATATTTTCCTATAAATATCTGGAAAGTATGCTTTAAAAGCCATAACTTGACCATCTCTAAGGGAATCTTAAATACATTTTTTTTCCAAGCTAACACTTCAGAATCTGTGTGAGACCATCATTTACTATGGTTATAATCGGAGAGGCCTTTGCTTTAACATGTCTTAACTTCAGAGATCTACGAACAATAGTACAGCAAATATCAGTGTTAGACACAGAGGAAAAGACACGTTTCTATGGTTCCGTTTCAGGTATATCCAGGGCGCTGCATCTCCCAAGGACATGCTTATTCTGGTGGATGTGTGAGTAGCTGATTATTTATTATCTATTTAGATCTGTAGCTCGGGAGACTTTTTTAGGTAATAGTAGTTTGTGGTGATTGCATGTGCAGACAATGAAGATGTTAACAATGGATCTCGGAGTAGGCTCAGGCAATAAAGTGCCTGTTGCAGAAGATGAAGAGCTGAGTTTATAGCTCCAGCATCTACATAAAAAAAAAATTAAAGAATGACAGGACAGTGGTTTGTGCTTGGATAAGGGAGAGAAGATCCCTGGAAGCTTGCTGACTAGACAATGCAAAGGGTCAGTTTGTCGCAGGATCACTGTGTGAGCCAGTCTTCAAGAAGATGCTAGAGAGTGGTAGAGGAAAATACTTGACATTGATCTCTGCCCTCTACATGTGCATGTGTGTGTACATGCGCACACACGGACACACATATGAACATCACACACACACATACACACCACATACACACATACTTACATCCCATACACATCACACACAGACATATGCACACACATCACATACACACAAACGTGCACACACTTATACATGTCACATGCACACAAGCATACACACTTATGCACACACATGAACACACAAACGTAGGTATGCACATGCAAATGTAGACACATAGATAACATTTTCATTGAAAATGAAAAAAATGCTATTTGTATCTGTATCAAAATGGAAAATTGTAACACTATTTTAAAATTATTTTTATTTCCATTTAACTTTAATTCTGAACAATATTAAAATATACAGTTAATAAAGCTCACAGTTCTTGTTTCTAAAAGAAGAAAGAAAAAGGAAATGTGACTTAGTTGGTGCTTAGCCATAAACAATTATATTGACTGGAAGGGATTTGGAACATGTTAACTTTTAGCAGTAGGACTTTTCAAGGGACACAATATATGAGAACAATTTCTGTAAGTGTTGATATTTTGTTTTATTAATTTGTTATATCGTTGCAAGTTAAAACCATATGAGAATCAGTATGCACTATTTTGCAGAAGTGGGAGTTAGTTGCCCAGAGATGGACCCTCCCTTTGGAAAGGTGTAAAAACAAGAGAAATGAAGAAACCCTGCAGGAACTGTTATTTGGTCTGTGGAGTGTAGCATTTGGCCACATACCTCATCACAGCTATGCAGCTCTGTTACTTTCTTTTATTCATTTTTTCTAGTGACTTTTATTTTTTAAATTAAAATGTAATTATATCATTTCTCCCCTTCTCTTTCTTCTCTTTAAACCTATACACTTGCTCTCTCTCAAATGTGTGGTCTCTATATCCTTAATTGTGGAAATAAGTGTCGATGTTTATATTCCTAAATACATCAATATATATAAATACCTAATACATACATATATAAATACAACCTGCTCAGCTCATATAAGCAAAGTCACCTTTGCTTTCTTATATAATCCAGGACCAACGGCACAAGGGTGGCACCATATATTTGTATTTTCATGTAAATTATCCAGAAGCTAAAAAGATCATTTTCTTTCTTTATGAAGCTGTTTGCTAAATGAGTGGGGAGTAACACATGGACCCATTTGTCTGTTCATAGGAGTGGAAGTGTGAGCGGATTGACTCTGAAGCTCATCAGAACATCTGTTTCTGAAATGTTAGAGACCCTCTCGGATGATGATTTCGTGAATGTAGCTTCAGTGAGTATGGGTGGCTATTCTTCCCGAATTTCACCTACCTGTCTCCTCGGGACATTGGACACTGGGGTGTCCTGAGCTGGTGTAGGAATGGTACAAGCTGCCTTATGAGCTGTACTACACTATGCTTTCTGAGGTCCTTAGCATTGACATCTGTTGAAATGGTGAATGCTGAATGAAAAGCATTCCTCTCCTTTACTCTATGGAGCCTTCCACTCACAGGTACTAGACATCTGATGAAGTATCGTGTTGCAACATGATTGAACAGTTAATTGCTTGTTGCTGGTTATGCTCATTTTTTGCCTGGTCAGTTGACCTTGTTGCTTTGTGTTTTCCTAACAGAAGAAAAAAGAAGCAATCAAATTCCCTTGGAACCACCTTAGACCTTATTGTAGCTAGAAGTTGTAGGACTCAGTGTAAATGAAACAAGATGTGCCATGTGTCATTTTAATCTATGTAATTTAGGCAATGAATTTCATGGTCATTTTTTGGTGGATGAAATCTCATATTTGAAGTGGTTTTATTTATAGAGATGTGGTTGAAGGAAGGAGTGCATTTTGGTGACACTGTTGTGTATTGTAACAGTGAGAATGAATATGCCTCTAAGATCACTGGGGAGGAGGAAGCTAAAGTCTAAGTGTGACTGTCTCCCTTTCCTGGGATTGTGGGAAGCAGGAGATCACTATAGTTCTATAGTTTATTTGGAAGAGATCTCAGGACATAGCACTAGATAAAGAGTGAGGACTGAGGCAGGAAAAAGGAGAATCTAACTAGGAAATCAGACTAAAGTGAAAAATAAAAAAAATAATTTTACTTAGAAATTCTAGAAGCCACCTGGAATAGTCTTTTTAGAGTTGTCGAGCCCCAAACCCTGGGGAGCTGACATGTTAGGTACCAGCCCCCTCCACATGTAGGCAAGCAGACTAATGATCATATTCGAGTGGTCTAAAACATGAAAATTATAGATTCTGCAGGTTGGGAGCTGATCAGTGTCTTCCCTGGCCAATCAATGAATTAAAACTATGGAGATTCATATCATTAAAAAAAATAATAGCAATAGTAAAGCACAACATGGTACAGGAGAGTGGTGAGCTTCTAAAGTCTGTGTCAAAGTAGCAGTTTTTCAGTCTTTCCTCTAAAACCCATCCCAATATCCCTATACTCCTGCCAAACTCTACAACAGCATCAGTAGCTGGGTTGGTGTGATGCCCTAAACACTTTATCCAGACAGGCCTTTGAATCCATGGTTTCTATGTCTATTCAAACAGTGGATTTATAATCGTCTATTCATAGACATTACAAAAAGTGAAATTGTCGAATAAATTCCCTAATTCCCTGTCACTGTTATATTGCAGCAACTTCAATGACAATCTGTTTAAAAAAAAAAATATCGATTCTTTGGAATTAGGACCCAAAATAACCAGGCAGCAATACAGATACAGTTTTAATAAACACTTAAGGTAAGAATACCCCTCATTTCCACCACATGCACAGGCGGAGCAGAACACACCTCTACACTGCAGAGAGACAGTGTAAATGGAGCCTAAGTGAGGCTCTTTTAGTTATCTTGACTGGAGATTGGCTCTAACATTTACGCATTCTCTTTCTTGATTGAAGAAACAGTAGGTTAGTGTGAAGGCTTGATTTGTAGGCCGTGTTGATTTTTCATCATGAAAACGTGCCATGACAAATTTCAAACTACTAGCGCAAGGTTCAGGGGCCCTAGAAGTGCCTGAAAATTCAAGGATTGTTTTTCATGAGATGATGTCATCCTGACATGCATAGAACAGCATCTGCAAGCAGATTGTCCTTTCACTCTGGAGCCTTAGCTGCATAGTTAAAAGTGAATAGTCTATAGGGAGACAGCACAGTCAGGTCCTGTAAATGCTATGGACATGTGCCTATGGTTGGACTTCCTTCGATAAGGTTTGCCTCATGGGAATATGTAAACAGATTCCCATGGTAATCCAAGCAGTAGGTGAACTCTGAAGGTTAATAGTTCGTAATGTTGAAGAACCTGTGACTGGATACATGCTGATATTAAAGGAAGCAAAACTTTACTCCTTTCCTAAAGCGGCAGCATATAACAGTTTCTTACATTGGACTAAACTGGTCATTTACCATGCGATAACTGTATCAAGGCAGGTGGGAAAAAAGCCCTGCACTCTCCATTCTAAGTTACCCACTTTTCCTTTCCTATTTGTTGACTAATTCATGGGCCTATTTTATAACCATCGTCATTACCACAGACAGAGCTGGTACCTTCCAGTGGAAATCATTTTATCCTTGCACTGTCTAGTAAGTCACCAGGACATGAACTGTCTCTAGCAAATGTGGGGCTTTGTTCCATGCTTTATCCTCAGCTTCTTCTTCAACTCTGCCAAGTGGGCACGTGCGCGCACGCGGAGGGTTGGGGTGGTCTTCCAGTATTTTTCCTTCCAGGGCCAACCACCTAAGCTGCTTACTCCTCTTCAGAAAGACATGCATTTTCTTATCCTGGGAGATACATGTTTCTCTATGTCAAATTAACATGAAGTGCATTTTGCCTCAGGGTCTCTCCAAATCCACTCCCTATGTGTACTCCTGGCTTCTGATGCTTTACATTCAACAGACCTGCTTCTTCTGTTGAGTAGTCTTATGTTGTTGTTTTCCTGGCACAGACTGTACCTTTGCAGGTGGTGTATGTTGAGATGTGACATTTCTGTTGCCTAGAGCAATGAGAGAAGCTGGGATTAGATGATAAAGAGAGCAAATGTCATCTTTTGTTGTCTCTAGGATAAGAGAAGCCACTGCACTCTAATTGAAGGAATAGTTTATATCTATACAAACAGATATGGGCAGCCCACAGCACAGTGGCTTCAAGGGCATCACACGCCCACCTCCATGTCTATCCAGCCTGATGTTTGGATAGACACTATGGCTCTGTCACAGCTTTATACTTTGAGTCTCAGAACTAGAATCCTCATTCCTAGGACATTTTGACCATGGTAGGAATGGAGAATCATTTCAGGAAAATTTTCTGTGTTTCTTACTTTGGAAACAGTCTGCAATTGCCTGGTCCATGGGTACCAGTTTCTTTAGTGGAATTTAACAACCTCTCAGCACTTAGCTTTACAATTATTTTTGTTCTCATATCTTTCAAAGGCCAAGTGTGCCCCCTTCAATCTCCATTCTGCTGAAATTACCATAGCTGTATTTGTAGCATCATGATGGAAGTGTCAGAGCAGTCTTCTTGGCTCTAGTTATGTCCCGGAGACAAAGCCTCTTATTCACCAAGGCTTCTTTTTTTTTTTTTTTCCTATTGTGACTCTAACAAATTAGTCTCTGTAGGAATCTCATCTTGAGCATCTATTTACCAAAACTGATATCAAATAAGATTAGATTCCCTAGAAGCAGTCACTTGTGACACAGATTTAAGTTCAAATGCCTTATTTGGAAAGTAGCTCTGGAAAAGGCTGTTAGTGAAACGCAGAAATTAAAGTGCATTATTAGGTAGCACACTCCCTGGGAGTGGAGCTCATTCCTCCTGGGAACAGCATAGGGCCTATGAGTGTATGTTGAGATTTGACAACATACATGTGTGTATACAAAGGTAGTATACAAAGGCTCAGATTTTCAAAAGGGAAATATGCTCGTATGTGTAATAACTGTTCTGTGTGACATCAGTTCATGGGCATACACAGTTTGCCATGGGCAGTGCAAAGGTTAGGGTGTCACCATGGGCAGATGCATGTTACATTGACATGCTTGAAAATAAGGATGGCCACTAATAATATTTGCCTCATTAAGACAGTGAACATTGCTATCACTAAATCTAAGAGAAATTTCTGATGATGTCACTTTTGAATGGATATTATGCATTCAGCATTTGGCCAACAATTCAACAGCTGTTTTCCTAGGGGAAGAACACAGTTGGAGTCAATGCTGAGGTTCATACTGCCTACTAAGTTTTGTTTTTTTTTTTTTAATCATTGTTCTTCTAAAACCATTACAATCTTAGGCATATACTTTTATTGTTGCTGTTCTTGAGACTGAGTCTCAGAATATAGTCCATAGTGGCCTAGAAGTTTGCTATGTAGCTCATGCTAGCTTTGAATTCATGATTTATCTGCCCCAGCCTTCCAAGGTTTGCATTCATGTATCATGCCTGTCTGTATATTTTTCTGGAGGGGGGAGAAAAACATTTGAAATGACTTCTTAAGAGATATAATTACTGAAAAGCACAATTGTAAGACAGTTCCTCATCCTCTCTGTGCTCCAGGCTCATACAAACTTTACTGATGTCCCAAAACTACCTGCATCCTGATGTGTGTATCCCCATTGGTGTGCTTTGAGTATGTGAACTAGACCACATAAGAAAAAATAATCTTATTTGTAGTAAGATGAAGAACTAATATACATGAATACCTCATTTTAATTATGAAAACATTTCTTATATATTCTAATTAAAAGAAAAGATGATAGTGAAATGTGTAGACAATAAGCAATTATTTCAGGAAGACATTTGATTATTTGACAAAAGTCATATTGATTTCTAGCTATTCCAGTGAAATTTAATATTGGCTTTATTTCCTACATATGAGACAACATAACCACGCCTCCTAAGGGCTGGCTACAGGTGTGCCCGACCATGCCCATCAGCGTGTGGTCAAGGTGATGTCAGGGTGATGAGTGAGAGGTTTAAAGGGACAGACAAGGCACATGGTAGCTCTCTTTCCTTGCCGCTTTGGCATGCTCTGTCTTCCTGTTGGTTGGCATTTACTTATTAAAAGATAACCAGACCTTATGGGCTACGCATTAGTTATTCATCGTAATACTTATTAACCAAAAAAAGAGTGAAGTTTTCTACTGGCTAAATTGAACTCTTTGTTAAATATGTACCTTGTTTAATTTTATTGCTTTGGAATGATAATTTGAATATAATCATGACTTAAAGATGACTCTGTGCTTTTAAGTGATCATGTTCCAGAACGAGTTTTGATCTGCAGAAAATCTTTACAAAT